TTGCGAGGGTTCACGGCCTGCTAAGGGTTCACGGCGTGAATCGTTTGCAGTCCGAGCGGGTGGTTGCGGCCCAAATGTTGTTCACGGTCCAAGGTAAGAAAGAATGGTCTTTGCACTTCATATTTTCACCTCTTAAACATATATCACCTTGAATACAAGGTGTAAACACTTATAAAACATTAATCTAACCCATTTAAGATAGAATAAGGTTTAAGTTGACTTTAGTTGACCCAAGTTTGACTTTGGTTGACTAGGGTTGACTTTACAAGTAGGAAATAACGGGATGTTACATAGTAGGAGTATAGTTAGTTTTCTCGTGTTGTATGTGGATGCCATACTACTCATAGGAAATGACATCCCAACCTTGCAGGAGGTTAAGTCCTGGCTTAGGAAGTGTTTCGCTATGAAGGACCTCGGAGAAGCTACTTATTTTCTAGGGATAAGGATATTGAGAGACATGAGTAAAAGACTAACAGGACTTAGTCAAAGTACCTACTTTGAAAAGGTGATGAAACGTTTCAACATGCAGGATACCAAGAGAGGAGATTACGTATCCACGCAATGCCAGACTAAGTAAGACTCAAAGTCTAAGTACCGAGCTGAAGAAATAGTAAATGAGTTGAATACCGTATGATTCTGCAGTTGGTTCGATCATGTATGCTATGACCTGTACTCGCCCTGATGTAGCCTTTGCATTGAGCATGGTTAGCAGATATTAAGGGAATCCTAGTAAAGCTCATTGGACTGCGTTAAAGAACATTCGTAAGTACCTGCGAAGGACTTAGGACTGGATCCTTACCCTTGGTGGGAGTGATGACTTAAGAGTGGTAGGGTATAGTGATGATAGATTTCAGACCGACAGAGATAATTTCCGCTCTCAGTCGGGCTGGATATTTACCCTAAATGGGGAGCAATGACTTGGAAAAGTTCCAAACAGGAGACTGTAGCTGATTCAACGTGCGAATCAGAGTATATAGCAACGAGTGAAGCGTCAAAGGAGGCAATATGGCTGGAGAACTACATCGAAGACCCTGTGAGTTGTACTAGCTATAAAGGATCCCATGGAGATTTTTATGATAGCGACAGTGTGGTTGCCTTATCCAAGGAACCAAGAGATCATAGCGATCAAGACACATCACAAAAATATCACTTCATAAGACATCAAGTAGAAGAGGGACTCCTCGTGGTTAAGAAAATCCAGCAGATCCCCTTACGAAGGGACTGAGTAGGGTTAAGCACTTGCAGCACGCTAGTAGTATCGGCTGACGAAGGACAATATTAGTTTTGGATTAGATAGACATTTAGAAACTTGAATATTTAAAATGTAATTAACATTTGATGATTGAATAAAAGGTGTTTTTATTTATATAAGTAAGTTACTGTCTTGTGTCAATTATTTACTATCGTTTCATTTTGCATGTTTTGACTTCCAGAATAATAAGATTATTCAAACTATCCACAATCGATCATACTTTGGAAGTAGGTTATGAAAGAAGATTGTCATGAATGGTTTTTTGTATGATTGTCTAAGGTGTTAGGACATAGCAAAAGATTGCTACAACATTCATGAGTGCTCTTGAAATAAGATTTGAGTATTGGACTTAACCCACTCTCACATATCACTTCATGGAATTTATCACGGGTGATTGTGAGACGATAATATCGATTAATCTTCAAACCAAGATATATGAGTTGGCGATTATTTGTTGATTGTACATTAATAGTGAAAAATGCATCAATAACCCAATGTTATAAAACGTGCTATCATGTATGATTCAGTGAATAGTTAGCACAAGCATACAGTCGAAGTTTTATCTGTTCCTTTTATCCTCAGAGGACTAAAAGCGATAACTTGGGCCCCTCGCGATGATTTTGTTTTTACTTATGTGTTGGGCCCGATCAGAACTCTATTGATGTGTTTAATTAAGTTTTATGTCGAACAAATCAGAAATCGGGAAAACAAAATGTTGGACAATGAGTATGACGTTAATTCCATGTCTTTGTCCACACGATATGTTGTAGAACAGAGGATTATATAATCACTTATCTAATGGACACGTCAAAGTTGACAACGGCTTTTTGAGAGCTACGATTGCTAATCGGATTTTAAGGATATGGCCATTACATTTATTAGACTCATCCAAGTGGGAGACTGTTGAAAAAGGTGTCTAAGTCCATAACTATAATCAGTATGTATTTGACCCGATAGTAGCTTGGTCCCATTTGGGTTGCATTCATCAAAGCAATATGTTAGAAGGATATTTGAGTAAGAGGTTATTATGATTTATTAATATATTAGAAGTACATAATTAATTGAGGAATCATATTATTAATTAGTATTGATCAAGAATCAATTTAAGAATAATTAGTGATCAAAAGAGACTAATTAAATTGATACATATGGATTGGGCTATGATCCATGATTGATTTGTGATGGGCTTATGGGTTAGTCCATGAAGTGATTATCTAAATCAAATGTGGGATCATAAGCTTATGGGTATGGATTAGGGTACACATGACCCTTGATATTCTCTCTCACTCTATATATATATATATAGATATAGATATATTATATATATTATATATATATATAGATATATATATATATATCTATATATATATATATATATATATATATTCATAAGCTAAAATAGGTTACACATACACCGCTTGTATTTTGAAGAGTAAGAACCGATTTTATAGTCTCCATAACTCTCCATATTCATCTTAATTGTCCTAGGTATTTTTGATTCCATTTGAGGCATCACACTTGGGTGCTAAGCTTTCTTGAGGCCAAGTCATTCAAGCTACTACACAAGGTATATTCTAACTAGTTTTTATGATTCAGATATCCCCTTGCATGCTAGTTTAGGCTTCATGCTTTGGAAAATGTTATTACATGTACAATTAGAGAAAACTAAGATCCAAAGCATTAGGTTGTATGTACACCATAGGAATGTTAGAATACATAAAACCCAACACCTTTTCATTTGGACCCATTTGAAGAAGATCCATCATGTGACTTTCCATTGTGATTCTTAGAGGGAGCTTTCCTCTTCTTCCCCTTCCCTTGTCCAATACCCAAGACTGGGGCAGCAGCAACAAGAGTGATGCGACAACGTTGCCTTTCAACCCACTTTCAACAGTCCTTAACAACCCTTGAAGCTTGCTCAAGGTGACTTCCTCCTTGTTCATATGATAAGTCATCTTGAACTGATCATAACAAGGAGGCAAAGAGTGGAGAATGATATCAATCGCCAACTCTTTGTCAAAGTTGACATTCAACTTGAGCAAACGATCCACATACCTTTGCATTCTTTGCAAGTGGCTTGTTATGGACTCTCCATCTTTCATCTTGGTTGTGATTAACGAGGCGAAAATCGCGTACCTTTCTTGACGGGCACTTTGATGGTACTTTTCCATCAATCTTGGCACATCTCTTAAGGCCAGTAGCCCTCGTAGAACCGCTGTAGCTCAGGAGTTATAGTGGCTACCATTATACACGACACATTTGTCGCGTCTTTCTCATGAGCCCTATACTCAGCTATCTCTTTAGGAGTAGATTTTGATTCATCGATCTCATTGAGTTGTTTGTCGAGAACGTATTCCTTCTCTTTGAAACAGAATGCTATTCGAATGTTGCGGATCCAATCATTAAAGTTGGACCCATCAGACGCAACCCTTGCACAAATGTTCATGAGTGAGAGAAGGAGCTTGAGGGGTTGGAGTTCGAGTCGGAAGCAGTATTTGAGCTAGGCATGTGAAAAAGAAAAAGAACAAAGTTTATATTAGATAGAGAATCCTTAATATAACACCCCAACTGAAATATTAAGGCTAGACCCAACACAATATTTCACAATTCGGAAGAGGGATGCCGTAATCCAATTGCAAAAATATTTGAAGGTAGGTAAATGACGATTTACCAATTCCACCATGAAAAACGAAATGAACAATTAGGTTTTAAATGAAATGAAATTCCTAGATTCTTTTGAGATTCATTGAACTTTTCAATGGCATGTTTAATCTCGATTATGCCCTTCGAGTTTGTGACTGGGATACCGAGGATCACAAACAAGTTATGAATAACCATGCAAATATTGCTTGGTACCCTCAAGTCATTTACCACCTAATCAATGTGCTGGTTAACCACACAAGCTCCATTGATCTATGATAATTCTTCAGCTACCCTTCGCCACTCTTGTCAGTCCAAGTTAGTGTGCCGGTTAACCACACACGCTCCACTAACGACTTGGCAAGGTGCAAAGTGCAATTTCATGGGATAGCATCATTTTCACATTTTTCCTAAAGTAACTAAGATTGGGAGTTTATATAAAAAAACATTTAGTTACTTTATTATATTCATTATAATTATTAGTGAGGAATTAATGTCCTATCCTACCCGTTCGGCTAACGACCCTCCACTAATAAGGAAGCGGTGGGTGAGAGTGGACACCCATTCAACCGCCATTTTATAGGCAGTTTTCTTATACCCCCTTATAGATTGGTTTCGTGAATAAGGCCTACTAATGGGAAGACTGATCATCTTATACATATATAAGTATTAAACTTTTAATATTATAATAGTATAAGGGTTGTATTTTAAAGTTTTAAAATAC